TGATGAACATGATTATAATTTTACTTTTTTTATTAGATTCTTGAGAAAATAAAGTATTTGTTCTCAGTTTGATTTATTAGATGTGTTAGAATAAGATTGTTAAAAGGTTAAATCATACTTTTATGGATATTATAAGAAATATGATAGTTTATTTTTTTATATCCAAATTAATGTGAGAAGCTCTAAAAATGATTATGTATATCTTAAATAGAGTTCTTAGTAAGTCAATTATATTAACTTCTTTATGCATTGATATGAAACCCAACTTAACATATTTACATATTTATGATTGTTTGTAGAGATAAACGTCTTCAGTTCACATATAAAAAAATTAGATTCAAGAATCATTTTGAATATTTTATTATTTATCTAAAAAAATTCAAAGGGGTACACATTTTATTACCCTAATCATAGTATCACAACAGTTAAATCTAGTAATACAAGGTTTTTAGAAAATAGTGAATCAGTGAGAGTAAAAATATCAAAATTTAATCTTAACATTGAGGAGATACAAGTTAGTACTCATTTATTATTTGAGAAATTATTATTACTTAAATCATTAAATGATTTAATAAAGATGAATAATAAAATAACATTAATAAACTCCCATATAATATTGATATCATTGCTAATGATCTTGTAGAATAATACAATTGATAGTTTTAATAATATCTCAAAAGGAAAGGAGACCTGTCATTTCTAATTATTATGAGATACATCTATAAGAATTAGATTATAATATAGCAATAAAAACGATCTCATATTATTTTTTTCATAAGTTATTAAAAGTAGTCATTTTAAAAAGTGATATGATGCAATAAAAGAAGAGTTTAAATTAATGACTAGAATAGTATTTGAGAACTCATCGAATTGCCTAATAATTGTAAAAGAGTATTGCATAAACATAACTCAAAAGACAATATCGATATAATGGGTAGATTTATGATCAAAGATTTTATTGATAAAAAATGTATCGATCATAACGTGACATCTTTTTTATTTTTTTATATGAACACATTAAGAATCGTCATGACATTAGTGATATTATGATTTTGAGTTAATAGATATGAAAATAATTTTTTTGATTAAAGATTAGTTTTTTATGTGTTAACCTGAACAATTCATAGAGAAAATAAAAGAAATATAAAATTTAACTTAAACGATTAACAGAGAAAATAAAAAAATTAAATTTTAGTATAAAAATTTAAGAACTAACCTTTAACATGCCTTTAGATAATGGTATATAACGTTTCTTAATATTATTATTATTTTTTATATTTTTTAAAAAATATTGATTATTATTTATATATGAAGATCAATGGAAGAAAGTTTATTTTATTAGTCTTATATATAGATAATATTTTACTTGCGAGTAGTGATGTTGGTTTATTATATTGAACTAAGAAATTTCTTATTAAAAGTTTTAAGATGGTTAATATGAATGAGACATCTTATATTATTAGTATTAAGATATTTAGGAATAAATCTCAATGATTGCTATGACTATTTTAGAAATAATATATTAATCGAGTCTTAGAGAGATTTAGTATACAACTTTGTTCATCAAATGATAAAAGTAAAAAATTTCAATCAAAATAAAATAAGTATTTTTTTTTAATGAGTTAGAAAAAAATATTATTTATGTATGTATAGTTAGAAGTATATTATATGCTCAAGTCTATGCCAAATTACATATCAATTTTGAAGTTAAAATATTAGGTAGATATTAGAGCTACTAGGAATGAAAATATTAAAAGATAACAAAGAAAATAATAAGATATTTGAATTATATGCTCACATATATAAAATTAGATCAGCTTGAAATGACTATATTTTTCAAGTGTTGAATTTATAAATTACTGAAGTTCACTTTACGATTTATATCTATATTAGTTACAAGGGCAATTTATAAGAAAAAAATATAAAGTAATATATTATTATATTATTAATAATAAAATCTGATTTTGTGATATGCTTTGAGATCACTAATCAAGTTTTATGATTGCAAAATTTTATCTTAAGGCTTGGTGTGATCAAACTCAATTACTAAATCATTGAAGATATTTTATGACATATCATATTAGTTTTCTTTTTTAAAAAATGATAAGTACTATTGCAACTCTATATATTATGGTATAAAGTACTTGATGATGAGAGAAAAGTATCTAGAAATAACTAATGCTAATTAATAACTTGAGTTTTACTATATTGATTGTTAGTCCATTTGCTTATAACCTAAAATGTTTAAAAAATATATGTTCATATGATTGAGTTGTGAATGACCCATAAAAGATATAGTGATGCATGTTTGAATAAACAATATAATAGATAATATTATTTACATACTTAAAGTTATTTATTTATGCTATTCTATTTATATTTATATATGGACATATCATGGTTGAATACGATGATAAGATTATCTTGACAAGATAAATTACAAAGGTTATTTTAAACTATATTAGGAAAGACTAACAATGTTATGGTATATTGAAGGAAGTATAATATTGATGATATACAACAATTATGACTTGTATTGCTAGTCAAACTTAATATAATATTATTATATTTACTAGACTTATTGTCCTATTTTTTTAAAATTCATGCGTATATAAATATTTTTCAAAATTTAGAATCAAATTGGATAAAATTATTTTTAAATAAAATTATTTTTATTTATTTTTTATTTTAAAATTTTTTATTTTATTAATTAATGAGCCAAGTGAGAGAATGTTAGATTATGTGGCCCTATCTAATTAGGTAAGATATATTATGGATATGATTGAATTTTAATTATGATTATCGATCAATAAAAAATAAATTCAATCATGATAGGATTCCTCAAGAGATGATCTTGATAGAAGAAACTCTTCTAATTATTTATTCTAGATCATCTGCTTTCACTTATAAATAAATAAGACTTTTTAAGGATTATATACAAAATATTTGGGGATATGGATATTTTCTATCTCTTTTTAGTCACATGAACCCGAGGAATTACATATTTTCTTTTATATCTTATTTATCCATAAATCTATCGATCATAGTAGTTTTAAAAGGATAAGAAGAGAAGAGATGATGAGTATAGTTCTTCTTATAAATCGATATCACTACAACTTTCGGATTCGACAACGATGTGACTGTAAATCAGATAAAATATTTTCTGAGTAGCGTCGAAAAGTACTCATTATAAATTTAGAGATCTATGGTTATTTGATTTTAAATTTTGGCATTAAAATCTTCCTCTCAATAATAGCATATTACGATTTTTATGTTTACAATTACTTAATAAGGGTATTATAACTACTATTAAGTTTATTCTAATGGTTGAAAAGTAATCATAATTTTATTTATTTTAGCTTTTGCATCACAATTTATTATTGAAAAATCTGCACATATATATACATATATCCAGAATAAGGGAGATTTTTATATTTATATCTCAAAATTGAGTGTAGCATATATATTATTATCAAACTTTTAAAATAATTATATATTATTATGGTTAATCTTTGTTGATAAACTATCATTTGACTTTAATTAAACTTAAATGAAATTAATGTCCTTTAAAAACTCATTGTGACTGTAAAATCATTTGAGGTATTTTATGTATCTACATATCTTTTATTTATTACAGTTACACTTAGTTAAAATTTTTTGATGGATGTAACGGAAGGAAAATATATAAAGGTATCATATGTAGTTTATATTTTACATTAGATTTTTTAAGGACAAGTATACTATTTCATAAATATGTAAATAACCCCGTTATTCTATATCATAATATATTAAGTCATCTAAACAAATGTATTGTTAGTAAAGTCATCTTTTATCCTTTGCAATGAAATAATACTACATGATTGGTGGTGGAAAGTAAAAATTATAAATTTGAACAAAGTGGGTTTTGATGATTCGAAATACAATTATTTCATTGCAAAATAATGCTTATTTGATTTGAATTGGGCATTTTACTAGGTGCTCTTTTTTCATTCGAACGATAATTAATTATCAAAAAAATTTTAAAATAAAAAAGTTATACTAATCATATTAAAATCCATATGGTTCTAAGACAATTAGTATTATTTTTTTTGAAAATTTTATAATAATTGATTTTTAAAATTACAGATTTTTTAATAATATTTATGATCAAGAGGATATTTTTATCCAAGTAAAAACAAAATACCCCCATTAAAAACGGATATGGGTAAAAAAAAAAAATATTGGATTTTTTAAAGTAAAATATCTATTTGAATTTTAAAAATTTAAAATTAAAATTATTCTCATAAAATAAGATTTTTGTTAAAAAAAATTATATTTCAAATTTCTAAATTCAAAATTTATGAGAATATTGACTATCGTTGCAACAAACGGGCCCTCAAGTCGCCATCTAAACGGCTACGAGACCCTTCGAATGATACTGTTCCCTCCAGACACCGCCACCAACAGAACCTCGAGTTAGAACCCTGACTCCCAACACGCCTCTTCCAATATGCGTCATCTCGATCACTCTCCAATTATGCGTCTTCTTCCTATTGAAGAATCCGATTCTATAAACACGGGTCCGCTGCTTTCCCCTTTTGATCGTCACCAAGTGCGTGATCCGATTGTTTTATTCCCGTATCTCTTTTCTTCTCACTTTTCATCTCTATGGCTGTGGAACGAAGCATCTAATATGCATATTACCGATCCTTTTTAGTTCCTCGAAGCGCCTCACCGTTGTCCAGGTGCCTCGATCCCCGTCCACTTTCTCTTCGCTTCAGCCGAGACGTTTTCCTGTGAGCGCAGAGCTGATTACCGGAAACCGGTAAAAAATGTCGTCTTTGAAGCCAGTCGGCAGTCGACAGACAGCTGTTGTGCATAGATTTGACCTAGGAGACGGAATTCAGCTTCAGGTATTGAGGTTGTTGAAAGAATTAATCGGATATCGGGTGTCATTTTGACTACTCTGTTTCCTGTCGACAGGCTAATGTTAATAGAGATTCCAATTCTTCGATTACCACAATCGAGCTCTTGAATTGCTCCAGACCGTTGATTCTTCACTGGGGAGGCATTTGTAGTGGAAAAAAGTGAGTTTTAGCGTACTGCAGTTTCCACTGGATTTGGGAATGTCTAGCTACAGTTCACCATCTTTTTTTTCTCTTGTAGTCATTGGGTTCTTCCCAATCATTATCCTCCCGGGTCTAAAATCTACAAGGGGGAAGCTCTGCAGACACCATTTGCAAAGGTTCTTGTTTCCCCTTGTAACTTACTGGAACTTTGATATCTGTATCAATGGTTGGTACGACCAGAGATGTCTATTTTATATCTCATTTTATTTTTATGATGAACTGTGATCGAAATTCAGAAGGGAGCAACCTACTCAATTACTATTGAGTTGCATGACCCAAAGTTTGATGCAATTGAATACGTTCTGAAGGATGAAAAACATCATAAATGGTTAAGTACAAAAATTAGTTGTAGTATTTCATTTTTATGAAGCACATTTCTGAGCACTTTAATTATTTGCTATTTCAACCTTTTCTAGGTTTAAATCAAGCCAAGGGAACTTCCGGATTAATATACCAAAGTTTGAGGCTTGTGCTTCTCGTGCTATGATACCGAAGGATATTATAGAACACAAGGCATACTTAATCTGGGAAAGAAAAGGCAGACCAACAAACTCTCCACAGGAGAAAGAGGTCTGTTAGGCACGAAGAAACACAGAATTTTGGACTTGATTAGTTTCCTCAATACTTTAGTATCACAATACCTTTTGAATTTGAAGTTCATTCAAAGTTTCTGACCATGCTATAAGAAGGTGGTTTCTGGCTATGAATGTGTTGACAGTTGCATGTTTAACCTTGCAGGAAGACTATGAAACTGCTTTAAGAGAGCTAAATGACCAATTATTAAGGGGCATGTCTATGGATGAAATTAGAAGCAGTCTAAAAAATCAGAATGTCCAAACTGTCTCTGGTTTTAAAGAACTACAGATGCCTGGAAATACCATAATCGCAGCTGTATATCACAAGCAATATGATGTATCCCAGTGGTTATCTAAGCAATCTTTGGGACACATGAAAGGAACTCCTCTGTGTGGATCATCTCTAGTAAATCTTGTCGAGAAGACTCTGGGGACAGACAACGTCAAAATGAGACAAATTTATAATATCGGAAACAATGAGTTGGTGGTCAGTGCTTATCACTCTTGCTGGTCTTGTTTCCTTACACTATCTGCTAATCCGTTTGGTGTTTACAGGTCCTCTTGAAAAATGTAAGCAGTGAGTCCCACATTATTCTTGCTGTCAACCTCAAAGGTGATACAATTCTTCACTGGGGAGTATCAAGAACTTCAGCAGGAGAATGGTTGGTAAGTTAGTTTATTTACTTGAAAGTGACATGATTTATTGTATAATGTGATTATTGCAATTCTTAGATAGTTAGAATACATATTTATTGAAAATTTTTTATTAAGGATTTTATCATAGGCTAGTCTTGTGATTTCTGGTTCATTTTTATCAAGGTCCCGCCACCAGAGATTTTGCCTGAGAGATCGAAGATGCTTAATGGAGCATGCCAGACTATCTTTAAAGAAATTTCAGATGGACAAAAACAGTTTCAGGTAAGATAGTTGTTGCTTTTAGCAAGATAATGTTAGCTTAACATTCAATTTCTTGACATATCACAGAATCAATTTTGTGTTAGAGATGCCATGACAACCAATAAGCTACAAATAAGGTGCTAACATCAGTGTTTTGTATATCTAGTCTCAGCACTTTTTAAGTGTTTGTATCCTAAAATAATCAGCCAGCATCATACTAATTATCACTTCATTCCTGCTTATGTATATATCCAGTGAAATATGCACTTGGCTTTGCAAAATGAACAATTGCAAAACTGTGTATTGAATGAAAATATAAAGTTCATTATAGCTATGACACTTGAAAAATGAAAAGGTTAGTATCGTACATTCATGTCATTGAGGGTAAGTGAAGTTTCTTGTTTATTCATACAAACTATAATCTAGTAATAAGACAACTAAGTATTTCAAGACAGACAATGGATTGTGTCCAAATGGCAAATTAAAATGGATCTAGTATTGCAGAGGGATAACAACATTCATGGAACGTAACATGCACTGAAATGGCTGAATAGTGGTGACGCACTAACATAATGTCCAATTACTGCATTGAAATAATAATTGTTGGAGTTGGTACCATGATGTAAAGATCCTAGTCCACTCAGCCATCATTTGATTTTAATGTAGGCCCTCACAGAAACTAATCTAAGCCAACTTGACCATGTTTAATATTTATCTAATACTTCATCCTTAAATTTTGTTTTTGTGCAGTACGTGGACATCAACCTCAGAGGAAGGCATCTTCTAGGTGTGCAGTTTGTGTTATGGTCTGGTGGGTCTTGGTTAAAGAACAATGGTTCAAATTTCTATATAGGCTTGAAATCATTGGAACAAGCAGGCGAAAAGGTTACTTTTATATTAATAATTTATAGGTTTCTTCTGCCTTGCTATAATTTGATTCTACAAATTTCATCATGAAAAAATCTAATAGAATTTGTATCAGAGGCAGTCTAATGTTTTATTTTCTCTATCAGTATATGGCTTTCAATACCCCTGCTCCTTTAGTTTCCATATATTATTTTTTCCACTAGTCTGTCTTAGAATTTTGCTTGAAGATTTTGTTTATGTTTTTAATATGAATATCAATTGAAGGCTGCTTAGTTTTGACAAGTCCTACACTTAGGTCTCCTGTTCTGCAGTTTCATTTTTGCTGAATTTCTTTAATTCTGGAGTCATATTATATAGCAGGGTGAAGGCAACAAGATTGAAATTTGCAAATGGCTACTTGATGAAATAGCTCAGAGAGAGAAGGATGCTGAGAGATCATTAATGCACAGGTAACCTCAAAAATTGGAGTTGTAGGCAATTCTCAACCATAGATTACTGATCTGAACATTTATTATTTGACTATTATTGTGGAAAAAGAATTTATAGAGTACTTTTCGAAAGGCTAAATTTAACAGAATTTTGACTGCTGATGGATTCCAATATCTTAAGCAGATTCAACATTGCAACAGAGTTGATGGAGCGTTGTCGACATGAAAGGGAGCTAGGTCTTATTGGGATGCTGGTTTGGTTGAGGTTCATGGCATGCAGAGAGCTTTGTTGGAACAAAAATTACAATGTGAAACCACGGTTTGTGACAACATTTTTCCCTTCCTTGCATATTTTTTGTATATATTTTATTGTTACCCATCGAGTTGACAGGTCCATACCTGTTCAATCTATATACAACTGATCATGGACTGGGTGAAGGTCTGGTTGATCGTCGTTCCAGTTCGTTCAGTCAGTTCCATTTTGAAAAAATAATTGTCTGATCATATGGTCACTTATAAATTGCTAATTAGTTGTACATAGTCCAAAGAAAATAAAACGATGCACTATTGGATAAGAAAGCTTAGAGAAACTTTAATGATGGGTACTTGTGGTGGATAGGTCACTTATGAATTACTAATTGGCTGTAGATGTTTTTTGTCATCATGGAGTTAGTATCTCCAGATGAAACATGTGCTGCATATCTGGAGATGAAAAATGTGTGCCCCTTGTTGCTTTAGCCAATACAAAGGCATGTTTTTTCCTTGCCATGATTTGATGTTTGTATTCCTAACTTGATGAGAGGACAAACTTGAACACCCTGAAACTAAAATTGTTAGATACAGTATCTAAAATAAACTTTTTGAAGCATCATTTTGATTTTTTATGAGATAGATTAACATCAAAACAAGGGAAATGAGACAAGAAAGAAGGTGGAATTGGTATTGCCTGTAAAACTTTTTGCCTCAATTTTCATTTGCAATACAGGCATCAGCTACATATAGTGGTTGCATATGTTACCTTTGGGCATTCTATGGGCATTCTAGTCCCTCTAAGATATACATTGCTCTATGTAGCAGACCTAGCCACTGCTGCATTCTCTGAACTTATTTACATGTCTAGAAGAACTGTATGCTTGGTCCTTGGTTGCATGAGCTAAAACTGCCACTAGAAGATAAATATACCTATTGACCAATCTTATGAGTTTTCCTTGGTTAAAACCTTGTTGCCAATCTGAGGAAGTTCAAATTTTTACCAGGCATAAATTTTTTGATTTTTATAACTAAGACAATCAATGGAAAAGGGCTTGGGTGATGATGCTGGTGCCATAAAATAAGACAAGAACATTCACAATTGAAAATTAGTTTGTTTCCCTTTATTAGTCGATGCTCAACATATTTACATATGCAAGAGTAGAATTGTCATGTTGGCTACAAAAACATAACTTGTCTTAATTCTGCAGAGAAATAAGTGCAGCTCAAGATAAGTTTACTGATTTACTGCAAAGAACATATCAGGACCAAAAAGATGATCGAGAAAATTTGAGATTAATAATGGCAACTGTAGGTCGTGGTGGTCAAGGTGATGTTGGTCAACGAATCCGAGATGAAATACTGATTTTACAGGTGGGAAACTTGTAATATGTACTCAAATAACTCATAAATAAACATTTTGTGCCCTGTTTATACTCTGTTCACTTCCATTTGGTATTTTGGTATAGAGGAATAATGACTGCAAGGGAGGTATGATGGAGGAATGGCACCAAAAACTGCATAATAATAGTAGCCCAGATGATGTCATCATATGCCAGGCAAGCCTCTTACTCATTTTTTTTTCTTTAAATTCTTTCATTGACTTAGTCACTGTTTTGTATTATTTTGATCAGGCCCTACTGGATTATGTTAAAAGTAACTTTGATATAAGTATTTACTGGAGAACACTAAATTCAAATGGTTTGACTAAAGCCATTCTAGCCAGTTATGATAGGCCCATTGTTTCAGAGCCTCACTTCAGAGCTGATAAAAAGCAAGGGCTTATTCATGATCTTTCAGAGTACTTGAAGACTCTTAAGGTTTGTTTTAAATACTTTGTCATTGCTGTATGAGACTGAATTTGATTTATTTCATAGATTTTGTTGGACCAAGGATATATCAATGGCATTAATCACATGAACACCTTATTTGCTAGTTTGGTACAACTACTTAATCAAACACTTGGGTAGCTAGAAGCCTAGAACTACTAGCAAACTAGTGTATGTATGAGTAGCTTAGGTTTATCTTAGTGATTGCTTTGCTTCTGAACTGCTTTTGTGCTGTTGTCAGCTGCACAATAATTGTTACTCTTTAACCACATTTTTGTTTTGTGTAATTGCCTTGAACACAAGTTTTGATGTTTAATATATAAATAGAAGTTGTGTTTGTGGTAGTTTCCAAGAAAAAGTATACCTGCTAACTTATCTTCATTTGACGGTGTGTTTAATATAGTATCCAAATATTGTTTCTACTTTCTACTATGGTTCGTCTTTCCGGTCCATACCAGTGTACTGATTGGTATGGTACATACCGATATATCAAGACATGATATGGTAGAACGTATCAACAGACCAATATGTACCATCCATACTGGTCCCTTATCAGACCAGCACATACTGCCTATACTGAGCGATATGTGGCGGTACGATGAAGTATGAACCTTGGTTTCTGTCATCTTTGAATTATAGAATATTTCAGAATGTACTTTGTTTATATTTGGAAAAGTGTTTATATCTTATTTTATCATACTTCCATAGGCTGTTCATTCTGGAGATGATCTTGAATCTGCAATTGCAACTTGCTTAGCACACTTGAATGAGGTAAGCTTCCTGATTGTCACAAATGAATAATCTCAGCTCTCATTATTTATCATGCAATTTATTACCTTCCAATCTCATGTTGTTTCTTAAAATTATGACAGAATTACGGCTTTATGAACACAGGCAATGGCCATTCTGATGGCTATTTTTCATTAAAGTTAAAGGTGCTGAGAGTATTTCACAGTCAATTTATCCATCGAGTCAATTGGGTTGAAAGACAGTTTTCTGGATCCTTTTGTTGAGCATTCAATGCATTTACTTGTTTTGCTAGTTGAAAGTTGTATATCAAGTAACTCAGATTTTGTGTGGCAGGAGTCCTTGAATTTCATCCAATCACATGCAGGAGATAAGAATATTGTTCCTTTTATGGAGGTTGTAAGAATTCCTTATTAGCTATTTTTCCCTTTATATTTCTAGTGAATTTCTAATTCATGGATAGTTCATTGCCAGAAATTGTTAGAGGCACGTATTGAACTTCGTGGATTACTTTTTGGCACTACTAGAAGGTTGAAATATTTTATTTACCTTGACCTTGCTTTGGAGTTAGCTCTTAAAACATGTATGGAGAAGAGCTTTAGTGAACTTAAGAAAGCACCTATACAGGTAACTAGTAAAGTAGGATATATGGTTTCAATGTTTGCTTTTTATCCATAAATCATTAATATGAAAGATGGCCATCTGTAGGGAATAATGTCTATGGTGTCTTTGATGTTGGAAAACCTGTGCCTGTCAACAGTTAACAATGAAGAACTCGTTTTTATCACCAAGGTATGAAAGAAACATAATATGTCATAGTATCTTTTATCAATTTTGTAACTTGCTTCTTATTTCTATTCCTGCCTTGATGCGTCATATACGTAAAATGGTAAAAGCACTAAGGTTATGCACTTAAATTCACAAAAAACTCTATTCTATATTTTCAACTAATTCTGGATTGTTTTTCTTCAAGGACTGGTACCGTGTCTGTAACTTATTCAAGCCCAATGATCAACAGTGGTCTCTGCAAACAAAAGCTGTTCTTGACAGAATGCAGCTTGCACTAGCTGATAAGGCTCAATATTACCTGAAAATGATACAGCCAACTGCAGAATATCTAGGAAAATTGCTCAGAGTGGAGACTTGTGCTGTATGTTTCCAGATTTACATTGTTTAGCTACTTTCTTCTTGTTATGAATTAATTAATGCTAAGTTTTTTAAAGTTTGTGTATTTGATTTTCTGATAAAACTCTGTTTATGGAAGTTATTGACTATGCATTTCCTGATGAGAAATTTAACTCACCTAGTATGATGGGACACTTGACTCTGCATAGTGTTTTGGTTTTCTCATTATGGCTCCAATGGATGAAACTATGATAGTTCCTATTGTGCCCTTATGATTTCCAAGTGATGTGCCTCCTGCATATTTAGAATGGTACCTCATGTCAACCAAAAATAAAAAAAAGCAGGAAAAGATTAAAGAACCTGCCAAATCCTTTTTGGAGGTAGTTGAAAAAGATAGTTCCCTTCCACAAGCAAGCATACACAGAGGAACTTTGCAATTTCAGATATGCTACCCACTTGGCCATTGTGCTGATAGAGAGGTAGAAATCCTAGGCATGAAACACAATTACTGTCTTTTTGACAAAATGTAATGAACAGAGGAATGTCATTTTTGAATCATGCTAGAGAGGCTTCAATTGGTGTCAGTTGTTATCTATGTTGTGTCGTAGCATCCAGAATGTGGATGCAAGGTACTTTCTCAGGTTTTTCATTGGTGAACCAGTAGTCCAATACTTGAGATTTATTTCATGTCCTTCAATGATCTTTATGGCCCATCAGTAAGAATAATGTAGTCTTTATTTGTTTACAAACTAATGCACACATTATTAATAAAACATTGCTCTCTCTACTATTTAGTTAGCTTTATACGTGAGTTTCTTAACTCAGGTTGCCAGCTTTACAGAGGAACTAATTAGGACAGGATGTGGAGGAACCCTTGCAATACTTGTTAATCATTTAAGTCCCATTCTTCGAAATATAGCAAACTTAGGCAGGTAAATGACTAAGTCAAACCATATTGTTGTTATAGATTGGGTTCCTTTGCTGCATCCAAATTGAAATGTTTTAACTTTTTTCTGGCAGTTGGCAGATAATCAGTCCAGTGGAAGTATGTGGTTTTGTAGATTGTGTAAATAAGCTGATAGAAGTTCAGAGCAAAGTCTTCAATAGGCCTACAATTTTAATATCAAACCGGGTAACCGGTGAGGAAGAGATTCCATATGGAGTTGTTGGTGTATTGACACCTGATATGCCTGATGTTCTTTCACATGTTGCCATTAGAGCAAGGAATAATAAGGTTTCATCTTGACAGTAAAATCCAAGTTTTTTCATGTGTCAGATACACAAAACTTTAATTGTGACATTAGCTGCTTGTGGATTCTTTATCAGAATATATTAAATGCTCACCTGCAGATTTGCTTTGCTTCATGCTTTGATCAAGATATCATTCAAGATTTGAAATCAAAGAAGGGAAAAGAAATTTCAATAACATTGAAAACATCAGGTCTAATATACAGGTATATTTATTTTGATTTGGTTGTTTCTTCAATATGCATGAGCTATTCTTTGTCTAAGGATTATTTTAAAATGCAGTGAATTCAAAAGCTCCTCTTCTTCCAACAAACTGAGTTCATTCTGTCCAAGAGTAACATTGCGAAAGAAGAATTTTAGTGGGAAATTTGCTATTTCAGCTGAGGAGTTCTCTTGTGAGATGGTAATTGTGTACTAATTGTGATGTCATAGTTTCTACATATCAGTAAAGACTTCAACCAAAGCATGAGTAGTAACCATTATACTGGCCTCTTCAGCAATTATTTTTTCTTTTGTCTCAGACCTTACAACAATTTAGAAGTTAGCACTCTTATTGCCTCTAAGTTCATTTGTGCTAAAATGAGATATTTATTGGAGTAAATAGAATGTCCTTCTAACAAATTGCCTTATCACCTATGATTTTAAGTTGAGAAGGCAGGTTGTGCCACATATCTTGCAGCCAAAGAAAAGGAAAAAAACTGTAGAATGGGAAGTAATTATCTTCTAACTTACCTGAAGATGATCTAGTAATAGCACATTCTGTTGCTGCATAATAGGAGGATACTGAAATGATAATGACAAATTCAATGAGTCCATTTGATTGCTTCTTATCTTGTTATGTATTATACATTTAATCATTGTGTGCGGCATCAATAATTGCCTTCCGTTTAGCAGTATTTTACCGCATGTTATATGCAACACTTTGCACAAAAATTGACACAGGTTTTATGCTAGCTAATTTAAGCTAAACATGTTTCCAAGCTAATCGTATGCCTTTCCTAGTATTTTCTTCTGATTTTTCTTCTATTATTTTTTGGTTTTGTTGTTTAGAGACATATGAATTGTGTAATGATGTCTTAAGGAATGTTCACAATTGAAATCTTTCAAAATTTCTTATTTTTAGTAATTAGAAATCTCTTAAGGAAAAATATTTACCAACCTACTTTCGAAGCCAACTGGTTGAACAATTATTAAACCTTAAACAATTGAATTCTAGTGTGATTGAGTATTTGGCCCTATTTGAGGAATTTTTACGTAGGTGTGAAATAGAATATGACTAAGTCATCACTGTTCGAAGATTTGTTAATAGGTTGAGGTTTGACATCTAACAGGAAGTCTCCCTTAGTTTCCCCAACACTATGGAGGAAGCTTCTCGATGAACTCTTGAGATTGTAAAGTACATCAAACTTCATCTGATTCGTCGAGCATCTTCTCAGCCTCTTGAAAATAAAACTATTACCTAATCTACTTTAACCCAATCTACTCTAAGTAGTGGCTCTGTTAAGTCAAAAATCCCCACAACTAGCATTAATCCTTGCCCTACCATGAATTGTCTAACTCGTTCAACTATTGATTCTCAAACTAGTTTGTCTTCATTCTAATGTCATTATTGTCATAATAGAGTTCACATTGCCTCTTGTTGTCCTCAACGTATCCTTAGCTTAAAACAAGAACTAGATGATCAAATTGAAGAAGCAGACTAAGTAATTGAATCCGAAGCCTACTCAGGTGTCAAAAATGAACTAGAAATTGAAGATGCTATGTTAATGTTATTTGCATTATTCTCTTTACTGCTAGTGACTCCAATGAATGGAAGAGGATAAGTATCTTCCATACGTTCATTCGAAACGGGGAAAGAACTTGTAGATTGGTTATTGATGGGGGTAGAACTATGAATGTAGTCTCAAAATTTGCTATCAACAGACTAAACCTTAAGGTAGAGTCACATCCAACCCCATTCAAAGTAACTTGGGTTGATAAAATCATTTTACTCGTGATCAAAAGATGCCTGGTACCAATCAAAATGAGCAATTACCTAGATGAGATCTATTGTGGCATCCTACCAATGGATGTTGCCCATATTCTTTTAGGTCGGCCTTGGTTGCATGACCTTGATGTTACCAATCATGGAAGAGAAAACACCTATGCCTTTCCATACAAAAACAAAAACATCATGCTGCGACTTGCAAAAGGTTAAATAAGGAACTCCCAAGTCTCTTCCACAAGCCTCAACCACCAAGGGACTCCATTTATTGGATCTTAAATCTTTTGAAATAGAGATCCTAGACAACAAATTTTGTGTGACCATCATTGTTAAAAAAATTTCTAGTCCTTGCACTATTTATAGCATAAATCCTAAGGTTAAATCCTTATTAGATGAATTTTCTGGTGTCATGCCCTTGGAATTTACCTAGTGAGTTATCACCCTTATAAGAAATCCAACATGCTATTGACCTTGCAACCATTCCACTTGACTATCGTGCCTTAGAACCAACTCACTCCTTCACTTAGTATATTCGTGATTTGCATGCTAAGATTCGACTTAAAATTGTCCTAAGTAATGAAAGTTACAAACTTGCTACTAATGCACACTGTAGAACTCAGGAGTTTCAAGTTGGTGATTATGTCTTGGTTCACATTCGACTTGAGAGATTCCCTAAAACTCATTCAAAAACTTTCATGATTGAGCCATTGGTCCTTTCCCCATTAACCAAAAACTGGAATCTAATGCATATATGCTTGATTTGCCTTCCGACTTAAATATTAGTTCAGTTTTCAATGTGGAGGATATACTCCATAACATGGTACTTTTGAGCCTCCTTTGTCTACCGATGTTCCTACAGGTGACAATCCTCCCGAAGCATTGATTCTCCCACAACATAAGAATGATGTAAATGTCATTCTTGATGACCATCTTGTTATGTCTACTACTAGCATTACTCAACACTTTCTTGTCAAGTGACATGATCGTCTAGCTTCCGATGCCAATTGGATTACTTTAGAGGAACTTTGTGAATAAACCTATTGGATTAGTACCTTGCAAAGTGAAGTTGAGTTCTTTTCCATCAAGGGAGAATGATGGAGAACTATCTAGATTTACAAAGGATTTCAGAAAAGTTTATTCTAGGCAAAGATATTAACAAAAGGTTATCAATTAGTTGACCTAGAAATTTTAAGAGTTGTGTTGAAAATTAAAAAATATCTTTTGATCTTTCTAGGGACTCCTTTTATATTTAGTGCACTCATTTACTATTTAGGTATTCTAGAAGTCACATTTTGAATTTTTAAGAAGCATACTAATTCTCTAGGAGATTACTTTTGGGAATTATTTTCATTAATTGTATCAAGGCTCCTAAATCCCTATAAATAATGGAACTTGTCAATGGATCAAGTACTTCAAATTTGAATGAAAAGAATTACATCTTCTTTAGTCTCGTACTCTCCTCGCTTATCACATGCTTCTCTTTCTTTCTCTTTCCCTCTTTTTCTCTCTATTTTCCTACTTTGTTCCAATGATTTAAATAGGCGTTCGGGCACTCGCCTAAGCTCTCGGGCGAGGCGAGGCCTGAGTGCCTCGTGTGTGCACCAGGCGACGCGCTTCAATGAGGTGTCGCCTAGGCGCTCGCCTGAACACAGGCACTGGGCGCTTCGAGCGAGTGCTTGATTCAATTACACGAATCGAACTGGTTTAAGGCTAGTTCGATTTGTAGTTTCTTACCTCAAAAGCCACGCTTCACGCCCGCGTGACCCCAAGGAACCCTAGCGCTGCTTCTGCCTCCGCTGTCGATGCTTTTTGCCACTGGTTTCATAACAGACGCAGCAGACCGAGCCTTCCTCTATTGTCGACGGACAAGTCCGATGGCCCACGTAGTTTCCTTCCGTTGTCGCTTCCTTCCACTATTGAGGGAGAGGACCGTAGGTTCCTCCGCCACTGACGGATGCCCTTTGGAGCTTCTATTGTTGTCGCTGCTGCTGTCCGCAACTTCTATCGTTGCCGTTGTTGCTGTCCGTAGCTTTCATCGTTGTCACTAATACTGTTCGCAGCTTCCCTCGTTGCTATTGCTACTGTCCATAGCTTCCGCCACTGTCGCAACTATCTTAAACTAATCCTCCGCCGCTACTGCTATCTCCCTCACTAACATTTTTTTCTCCCCCCTCTAACTTTAAGTAATATATTGTTAACAGTATATTTTTTATTTAATATCATATTTTAGTTTAAATAATTATATTTTTAATTATATTATATATTTATTATATTTTAATATTTCCAAGAAGATTTTTTTCTCCCCCTCTAACTTAAGTAATATACTGTTAACAGTATATTTTTAATTTAATATCATATTTTAATTTAAATAATTATATTTTTAATTATATTATTTTTTATATTTTAATATTTCAAAGAATATTTTTTTCTCCGCCACTAACTTAAGTAATATACTGTTAACAGTATATTTTTAATTTAATAATATATTTTTATTTAAATTATTATATTTTTAATTATATTATATATTTTTATATTTTAATATTTTAAAGCGTCTCGCTTTGCTTGAGAGCACCTAGCGCCTCGGGCATTTTGGGACCTTAGCGTCTAGCGCTTTTTAAATCATTGCTTTGTTCTACATCAACATGTCATTACCCACTTCTGAGAATACGAAGGAAGGCATTGTATGAGATTTGTGCTTGCCTTATCCTGAATCATGTGAAACATGGATTTTAGCATGTGTCACAGACTTCGGGATAGATATTCAAAAGACAAGTCATCTCCTTTCCTGCAAGGAGACATGCAAATCATCTAATGCTTCTTAGCTGTTATTTAAAGAAATTGTATGGTGTACATTATCAACTCTTGACAAGAATTTCCTGAGTCATATTTGTATCACTTTGTGGCATATGTTCATTCTTTCCCAAACTTAAGTAATACAACAAATGAATAACCCCACAAATTGTTGTAAATATTGCAATCTGAACCTAACTTTGAATATATAATTTACAAGCATAACAAATCCTATCAATGGAAGTAAAACTTTGTGTTTGCCTAAATATTGTTAAGCATTGTGCTAAACAAGAGGTCACTGTTTTCATGAAGAACCCAAGAACTGCCTCAATTTTGGTTTCTTCCCAAGTTCATGGTTAAATACATGAACAAAACTTTGAGGTGTTGTTCAATCAATATGCATTTAATCTGAATCTAACGTAAGTTTCCTTTATTTCATACTCATATTCTAAATTGTTTCATTATGAGCATCCTTGTGTAGGTTGGAGCTAAAGCTAACAACATCGAATACATCAGAGGGAAACTTCCATCATGGATAAAGCTGCCAAGATCTGTTGCACTTCCTTTTGGAGTTTTTGAAACTTCCATTTCTTCAGACATTAATAAGGTGATTTTCTTTCTATTCAGACAGTAAGAAATTTCTTTTGGGTCCAAGTGCAACTTTAGCTCTTAGTTAGTATGAATATTTTTATAAGTATCTAGTACAATATCACGATTTCTTTATGCTCACTTATTAATTGCTTTTCAGAAGATAACTTTGGTAGCAAAACATACTTATTTCGGAAAAAGAAGGTATATATCTTACGCTGCGTTCAGACTGCTTCTTTCCAATTTTCAAGATGATTTTCTAAATGGGCTCAATCTAAAAGAGGATATATGATAATGATTTAACTAGCTTTTAGTTCATCATTATTTTTTTTTACAGTTGTAGTGGGAACTTGCCAAATAATATCTTCAAGATCAAATTCTGTAATGAAGAGTTGACACCACTGCCTGTGATGTTCATACTAAGAGTCTCTAGGTAGATGTCTCATGATCTCCTTGTGCATATATTGATACTCCAAGGATGCATGAATCTCAAATACAAGTCCCCTGGTAATCGTCAACGTTGTCCTTGCAACCCTTATAAATGTATATGACTGGCTCAGATGTCCACCTATCCATATTCTCTCGCTATGCTTCTTACTAAAGCGTAAGGTTTTCCAAGTATCAAACTTCATCCTCAAAGCCCATTGTTTCGTGTTTGGTCACATGAAAATCCATGGTGAAATACTGCTTTGGACAGGTTATTCCTCCACCTTGACCTAACTAGTCATAGCGAGCATATTGTCACAGTGACAATTATCAGGATAATGCCAAATCCACGAAGATGAAGCCCAGATATATGGAAAATTAGGTTGGATTCATATATATGTCTAGACCACATCCTCATACAGAACTCTTTCAGGTCTATATGATCTATGTCAACTCTGTGTGGATCTAAGTTAGATCTATCAACGTGTAGGTCTGATCCGCACAGATCTAAGCTGGATCTATGAATATCTAAGCCAGATCCATGATGATCAAGGCCAGCCCCAAATGGACACTAATGGATATATGGCCAGATCTGAACAAATTTTGGCACAATCACTAGTGGATCTTGGTCAGATCCATATATGTTAGGCAGAAGCATTCATGAAGTCATGTAGCATTCGTCCATAAACTTGAAAATCTATCATTTAATTCTACATGCATTAAATAATGACCTAAAGGAGAAGAAATCACAAGAATAAAAGTTCATTAAATTAATGATTTGAGGTTTACCTTTTCTAGGAGGAAAATGAGATGATTTATTAAGGTCGAACCTTCAATTGCTTGAGATTGGTCTCGGATATGAGATAAATCAATTTTAGAGAGCGTGATCACAAATCTTAGGTGAAGAAATGGGCCAAGAAACGGTTGAAATTGACAGAGGGCTGGAGAATTATAGAAGAGAGGTTTAAAAATGGTCGGACGGGTGGATTTTTGGATCCAAAAACTGGGGGGTATGCTTACTTCCTGGTACACTAGCTTCACCGATAAAAATGTCGGCAGTATGTCTGGTGTGGTAAGCATACAGGATGGTATTTGCAGCTATGACCAAATGGTATGGTTAGCATTTGAATCCTTGGTTTTCATAATAAATTTGAACAGTGAGGATTACTGCAACAATGATATCTAATTTTCTATAAACTGAAACTAGGAAGACTTTAGGTCAATTCAACCATCAATAGAATTAAATGGTGAAAAGTATCAAACGGTTAATCATGTCCACCGTATTGACATTTGATAATACTTTTGTGGAACTGGCATTTCATTATCTGAATTTTATAATGTTTTCTGATGCAGTTTCTGGTGAACCTCTTATAGATATGAGCATAAAGGTGATTGTATGGAGTTAACATCTTTAGTCAGTGCATAGAAATTTTCTTTTACTTTATAGTTTAATCTCATGAAACCAAGAATGATTATTCTCACAAATAAATTGAATGCATCAAAACCATTATTATTCTTCTGCAGCAGATAAAATAGCAAATACTATTTCTGAAACCCTTTTTTAAAATGAATAAATTATTGGTTGATTCATTAGCAAAAAATCTAGATGGCAGCAGTTAACTTACCTTTTCATTTTCTGTTGCTTTTTCTCAATCAAGATGTTTTTTTCTCTTGTTTCAGGATCTGGCAAAGAAGATTTCTTTATTTAAAGGGCTTGTAAATGGTGGAGACATTGCAAAACTTCAAATGATACGCAACGCTATACTGGAAATGAAAGCTCCATTTCAGCTGGTAACTCTTATGGGTATATGTATTGTAACATTAGATTGATTACATTTTAATGTTTATCTTCTAGGTGAAACAGGTAAATTGATATTATGCATAAGATTTGTTTTGAAGTGGAATTGTACTGTGGTATGTGGCTATGCACATGATTGCAATGCCCTTGCTCCACTATGCGAAGCCCATGCCATTTACATTCCTGCATATCTGTATATCCCCATGGTAGTGCATGCACCCTTATCAAGTGTGAGTATCTGATTGAGACAGTGCCAGCTTGATAGTCACGGAGTCAATTGTGCATTGAACATGAGGCTCTAGGTCACAGTCAATTGTAAATGTACTTGGTCTCATGTAACTTAATATTGGTTTGATGTCTTATCTTAGTTTACATCATGGCATGCCAACAAAGATAAAATTATAAAACAAGTCATAACAGTACTAATGGTCTAATATGACTAGATTTGATTGTGTATACCATTCCCTTGGAAAGTCAAAAAGAAAAAATAACTTCCTATCAATCTGCTTAGAATAATTCATATATTAATTTCAGAGAATTTCCTTTATCATAACACTGCCTACTGCCAGTCAATTGCCATCATCAGCAGATGACTGCTGTTTCTGGCATACCTATTTTCTCTGGCAATTGACATGTGTAGTCTGTGTTCATGCCATTTTTCCTTCAGATTTAGATTCAGAACTTTGGTTAAGACTCTTCCCCTCCATGGAAGAAAGAAATATGCAAGGCAGTTCAGTGCTCTTGACAACATGGAAAAAAAAAAGGTTAGAGATTTGTGTTAAAAGACTTGTTAATAGGAGTTCAATTATGTGTAGATCCCATGTACCGGAAACATGTTGGAATTGTTAGAAATATTTTTAGAATGTCATTGTCAGAAGGGTAATATGTGCCACTTATAAGTTGGAGCATAGAAGAAATATGATTTCAGATGGTATCTAAAGTCTAAACATATAATTTCACCACTGTTATATGACATTCTAAATCCATCAGACAAATAATCATTGAGTCAACAAGCAAACCAAATCATAGAAGCATATTTATATGAAAAAGATGAATCAGAATGAGGTCTATGACCTTTAGCACCATTTGTTGGACTAACTACAGGCTTAAATCCAATTCTTCCCTTAGATTTCATTATTCTTTTTTTTCTTTTGGTGATGTAAGTTGTGTTTTCAATAGTGGTATGGTTAAACACCACCAAACTGCTTTCGAAGACTACTTATAAGCATATATTTCACATTTTATAGATGATCTTATACTGTTTCCACAGATGAATGAGCTTAAACACAAGATGAAAAAATCATTCTTATATTGGCCTGGTGATGAGAGTGAGGAGAGGTGGAATCAAGCCTGGCAAGCCATAAAGAAGGTCCTTTTCTCAATACCTTAATGCTTTAGATTTGCATGTGGTTGCCATTGGTAGATGTCCATAATTTTTTTTGGAAAAGAAATTTAGTTGCAGTTAGTGCAACTATATGATTGAATTACTAATTTCATTTAGTGGCTATATCATGGGATCTCAACAAAAGCAAAGCATTATGTTGGTTATAAGTTCAAATTGCTTTTGTTTTTTATCTTTTAATGGTTATTAAAAATAAAAAGTGCTCAATCTATGCTCTTAGAGCATGTGTAAACCTTTCATAGATTGACATCGCTTTTGACCAAGATGCTTTTGTAACATGTGTAACTTTTTCCATCTTCTGTAACTGGCTTTAAAATATCAAATTTTTGCTTTTAAATTATAATTTCAAGGTCAATTTTTTGAAATCAATTCCAAATTATGTCAGTTTTGCTTTCTGATGCTTAGTTTTCTTAGTAAGCAGCATTCAACCAGTTATTTCAAAGTTTTGAGCTGAAAAATTGTTCATCTATAGCAAGATCATTCAAGTTCATGAATAAACTTTTAGTTATTAAGGTCAAGAGGAGGAGTGCTTCGTGGCATATCATCATAAAGTTCAACCTCAAGAACAAACAATTAGAGTGGTTGTGGATTTCTCCACCTTTAATTCCAATTATCAGACCCAAAGGGTACAGTTGACACCAAAATCATTAACACATTTTTTTCTTCTTTCCTTGATCTTAACTTAATGGAAAGATCTCTAACTTATTGTGTATTATTTCTTGTAGTCAAATATGGGTGTGTTTGATGCTATTTTAGTTGTCAAATAATGCCATGTGTAATCTGTCTCTTTTTTGTTCATATTTATAAAGGCCTTATACTTCACTTGTAACCTCCATGATGCAGGACTATTATGATTTACTTTATTTGGAATATACATATTATTTTAGAGGGTTCCTTGGAAACATGATAAGCTATTACCAAGATTATCCAAAGAGAAAGGAAAATGGAAGCCAAATAAATAAGGAAAGCGATGAACGTTGGGCTTGATTGGGTATTTTAACGAAAAAAGGATATATATAATGGGTTAGTGGAGAATTCAAGACATGATTGAATATTCCATTCCCATTGAAAATTTTAATCATGATTAAAAAATCGACAAGTAAATCTATCAATTAAGTATCTTATCAAAAACGAATACAAGTTTTCTAAGAAAAAAAGAAATGACTGATATGCTTTGATTTATAGGATGTAACATTTCTTGATTGTATTCTTTCCCTTTTGTGTTTTTTTCTTTTTCTTTGGTACTACTTGTGAATCTATAACTGGGGAAAGAGTTTGTAATCTAGAAACATCATAATGTGATTTGATGAATATAATTTATTTTTACATAATATGTATGAGATCACATTTTCATTATCGATTGTCTGATTTCATCATCCATGGATGAGAAGTATGAAGTTGTGATGCCTTCTTTTCCAGAAGTTAATCCTTGAAACAGTGCAAGTCTAGTAGTTATTTTTCCTGATTGTTTAACTTATATAAAAGAGCTAATCTTTGAGACAGAGTGAGTTAGTAGTTGTCCTATCTGTTTTTTTTAATTGTCTTAATATTTTTTTTATATCCCTTAACTATCAAATCATAGAATTTCTTTTACTTGTATACGTACTAATCTTACACTAGATTGGTATTAGATCCACTTGTCCTACAACTCTCCCAAGAGGCTTGTGCTGGATTATGCCAACACAGGAGGGCATTGCAAACAAAGTTGAAATCCTTAACTATATGTGTGTTGGATGGCTTCCTTTTCTTAGTTGTTGGGAAAATTATAAAGGATGGTATCTATTGTAGCGAACAAACCATAGTGGTAATCGCCTCTTATTATAAGAATAAGTTGCTATTCTTGAGATCCAAATGCAGCCATGTTATTTCTTTAGCAATTTATAATCTATTCCAAGGGTTCATATATTGATCACCTCCTCCTCCTCCTTGCCATGTCACCTTTGCCTCCGCTGCCTCCTCTTCTTCCTACCCTTCCTCTTCTGCCTCCTTTTCCTCCTATCCTTCCACCTCTACCTCTACCTCCACCTCCTCTTCCCCACTTCTCTTTCTCTCGTCTGTGGTATTGGATCCTAATAACCTGCACTGATTCATCTGATATCCATAATGAAATGAAATTTTGATTCATGATATGGATACATTGTATATTGGCTGGCATGAAATATAATCATGCCATGCTAAAAAGTATCAACCAGATCTCATGCCATTTCACGACTATCCTTGATCTGCACATAATGGTGCAGAAAATGGAGAATTGGAAATTTGCTTAAGTGTATTTGACTTTTGACTGAATTTGGAACTGTATGATCAAAACCACTCTTTGCAAAAATTCTTGGATTTGTCTCTAATTACTGCTATGATGTCAAATTCACTGGAGAACTAATGGATTACTACCACTATTTCAAGAACATTCAGGATGCATAATTTCTCATCAACAGAAGATTTATGTTCTCCCTTTTGTCTATACTGGATCAGTTAGATGTTCTAGCCACACCTACATAGGTGAGAATTATTTATTTTAAACCTCTTAGTTTCCAGGAGATATAATTAAAGAGGAATCCATGTGCCCAGCTTAGTTATATCATTTCAAAAGTTTTCCAAAGTAATCTTTATAAAATTGCAATAAGTGCTTGCATAAATATATTATGAAACTTCCAGGTTTGGGCTTCAAAATGGAATGAAAGAGCATATCTTAGTTGCAGAAAAGCTAAATTGGACCATGATGATCTCTGTATGGCTGTGTTAATTCAAGAAGTAATCAGTGCTGACTATGCTTTTGTTCTCCACACTCGAAATCCACTTTCAGGAAATCCTCATGAGATTTATGCCGAAGTAAGTCAATAACAACAAAATTTTGGACTATTTTTTCAGTGATCAAACAATCATCTACTCTTTTATCGATGATCAGATAGTGAAGGGCTTGGGTGAGACTCTAGTGGGTGCCTATCCAGGACGATCGATGAGCTTTGTCACCAACAAGTCTGCACTAAATTCAGCCAGCGTAAGACATACGAAGCAGTTTTCTTTTTCACTTTCAAGTACTCCTACATGTTCAAACTTATGATATTAATGGATGCATGAATGAAAAAGGAAATTGCATTCTGTAAAATAGCAGATACTGCAGTTCGTGCATTATATTTGAGGTTCTTTATATCTGATATATTTATGACAAAATTCTTGAATTGCTTTTCATAATAAACAGTTGAATGCTTGATTTCTTGAATAGTTTTGTCTGATGTTGTTGAAGTTGGATTTCAAAAATTTATACATACATATGATAGAAAAAATAAATCAACCAAGTTGAGTTAAAATGATCTGAGTCACATATTTGGCTTCAAATCAGTCCATAGACATGTGTTGTTCTCTTTTGTCTTCTTTTCTTTTGTTATTTAATAAAATACAATTGAAAAAAAAATACCGAAGGAAGTTCTAGATTGTTTGGGTGTTTTGTATTAGTTTAGTATTCCTCATAACATTTCATATGGGTGGGAGTTTAAACAAAATATGATGCACCTGGACTCCTCAACTATATATTGGCTCTAGTGTCCTATTTTCTTATTCCCTAACTATCGTTTGATTGAATAGTATTAACAATTTGTAGTGGTTATATCTTAAGCAAAATATCATTAAATTTATGAAGTGTCTTTTTCACTTTTTAAGCTAAGGAATATCTTGTATGACATCTGTAAAAGTAAATAGTAACTGTGCTGCCTAACCAGTATAATTCACAAATAAGAGTATTGTGAGATACTGAAACTGCAGGATCACCAATTGAGGAGTAGTTTTCCAACCCACGACATTGCATCTCCATTTCAGGACCAAATCAAGTGTGTCGCTGTAATCCTTGATAAATTTGTAGATGGACAAATCGGATACTTGGAAGTTCCCTTCAAGTGCCAAAAATTACAGGAGCTTTTCGTACTTATATCTTTCTTATAATGTAATACAGCATACATTATAAGAAATTCAATGATAATTGTTTCAGTTCAGAGTCCTTTAGATGAGAAAATCATGACATCATGAAATCTTGAAATTGCAAAATCATCAAACTTTCAAATCTTTGCCTCCGCTTCTTAAACTGTTGAAAGGCTTCTTGCTTATTATTTGGTTTTTGGCCAAACTTTTTGAGTCCTCTTAAGGTGCAAAATGTTAGAGAAAGTATTCAGTAATTAATCTATGAACATGTTCAAGCATAAATTACACATGTTTCCTAACGTTATTGACCTCGTAAAGTATTGCATTTATTAGATGATAAATATCTGATCAATCATCAATATAAAACAACTGAACAATATGCTTCTTGCTTGTTGATAAAACTAATCAGAACAAATTATGCATTAAGTCCCTCCACATTACCAACTGCCATCTTATTTTAGGCTTATGCCATCAGACTTTTTTATTACATTCTTTTATTTTTCAGATCATTGGTTATCCAAGCAAACAGATAGGTTTGTTTGTAAAAAAGTCTCTCATATTCAGATCAGACTCTAATGGTGAAGACTTGCACGGTTATGCTGGTGCGGGACTCTATGACAGGTTTTATATTTTTACTTACAGGCCATTGTTACTCTTAATATTTTCCTTCAACTTTTTTAATGAACTGTGGCAAAATAATAAGGATAAATCAGTAACATTCTGACATTCAAGTTCTTTATTTACTTAAATTACAGTGTAACCATGGATGAGGCGGAAAAGGTCCTACTGGACTACTCATCTGACCGTCTTATTTCTGATAAAAGCTTCCAACAGTCGATTTTCAAGAAGGTTGCAGAGGCTGGAAAGATTATCGAAGGTGTATATGGTTCTGCACAAGACATAGAAGGTGTAGTGAAGGACGGAGAGATTTACATTGTTCAAACAAGGCCTCAAATCTAGAATATATGACATAAATATGCATGAAAGCGAAGACTGGTAGTGAACTTTGGGCCACCTAGGTATTTGTTCCGTATATTTTCTCGTACCATTGCCATATAACTTGGTATACTAAATTATGCATCTTCATTGTCTAGGTATAATAAACAATTTTGCTCTTGCATCCTCAGCTTAAATAACAAGATTGTAAGTTATTTTTTCCTTGATTAATATTCACAAAAGGAAAGGATAGCATGGACACAACTATGACCATCACCAAACTATATATGAAAGGTGACATGAAAATAGATTTGACAACGGACTTGGTAAGTCCCATTCTCTTGAGAACTTTCCAGTTAGTTTCAGAACTGTCATGGATTATACTTGCGTGAAGATAAAAAATTTGCAAATGTCTTTGGTTCTAGTACCAGCAAAAAAAACATTTTATTTGGCAGCCCCACCACTGCCCTGGAACAGTGTATTGTGAATAAATATTTATTTGGGTTGGACTGCTCACGATCAGTGTGAAGTCAAGTGAAATGTTGTTTTTCTGATTCCCTTAACAGGACTGAAAGCATGCTGCAATTACCAGTCTTGTATAACTGATTTCTAATCTAGATTAGAGAGAATTTCTTAGCTCAAACACTATGTAAGCCCATCTACATGTGTACCACTACTACTACAGATGATTTCTATAAAACTTTATGTGCTTAGGGGTGCGTGCAATATGTTTTCTGAAGATTTAATTAGTTGGTTATTGTCATTTCTTGCCATTCATCTAAACTTATGCATGGTTGATCCATGTAGAAACCTGCATCATCTTTCAAGCTTATTTAGCTTTTTGACTTTGTTGTGATATCTTTTGTTCATCCCTCAAACACCCACTAAAATAAGTCAAAAGTTATGAGCATAAATCTTCATAGATCATAGCCTTTCTTGCGCACTTGCAATAATCATGGAGAATCATTCTGGAAGAAGTTGGACATCTTTCTATATCATGCATCAGGTCTGAATTGATTGAAATCTGCACAAAAAAGAGGTCTGAGCCCATACTTTAAATATGAGATATCATTACACTGCATGACAAAATAACAGCCCATACTTTAAATGAATTCTTTTAATGAGCTCCATTATCCAAGTGTTATACCTTCATCATTTGATGCATCAAGTTCATAAGAACACTATCATCTGAAGCTGATGGTCTAATCTTGGTTGAATTTATGCTTTCATGAAGAGAGTTGAAGACTAAAATGCACCAGATAACAAGCAGATTACTAAAGCCAATGAAGTAGATGCTTTAGTCATGTACTTCAAATGGAGATGCTGTCATCATACATACACCCAAGACAAAAAGAAAGAAAAGAAATCATAGACCAGAAAGACAATGATTCACATATCACAAAGAAAGCTTAGGTGATCTGTACAGTGTATTAGATCTTTCCTCTCTATATAAAATCCAATAATTTCGAGAATTATTGGATAAAAGCATCCCGAACTGTGGATCAACTTTTTTTACACATTCGAACATGATCCTGGATTGCATACAAAATGCAAGGTTTAGCACTGCAATCGTGTACGAGGCACATCAACCCTCACAGCACAAGACACCATCATAATCCTAGTCTGTTCTATTACTGTCATTACTGGAAATACACTGAGACAATGCGGGGCAAACACTGGATGATGACAGGAGAAGAAATGAGAGCTGTTCCCTCTGCAGTATGGGAATCCCATGAAGCAGCAGGCGCACCATCCCACGATTTGCTCATGGATTCCAGAGGATGGTCGTCTCAGCAATCATGGAAGTGACGACATAGGGATCCTTGTTTGATGTTGGCCTCCGGTCTTCGAAATAACCTGAAGAGATCCACATAACACATCCATTATGACTGAGGACTAACATTTCAGTTAAGCAAATCATCGAACAGTTGCAAGGAGATCCCTGTCGAGCCAAGCAAAATCATGATCACTGAGAACAACGAAGAGCATAAGTTCGATCGTACAAGGAAGCAGCGTACCCATAAGAAGGTATTGATATCAGCAGTCTCGTGTCGCCCGGTGAGACGACGCTCGTTGCTCCTTGTGCCTCTTGCCAAGAGCTTCTTGTTGGCCTCCTTGATGATTTCGTATCCTCCATCGCATCTCATGGACTTGGTGCTGCAAGCCACAAGAACAAGAATGAGAGCCTGATGGCAGTGTGAAGGTGCGCCGACATGGATTACCAGTAGTTCGTGTTGTTAGAGCTAGCCCCAGGATATTTACCAAAGGATAATTTTGGCAACACAACAAAGACAATAAAGCGGAAAGAATAAAGCGACAAGAACAACAGAACACCAGAACACCAGATATACGTGGTTCGGTCAATTGACTTTGACCTACATCCACGGAAGAAAGAGGAGCAAATTACTATTATAAAAGAGAGACACTTACAAATGCCTTAGGAAGATGTTCCTAGGCCATAAAACACCTTTAGCTTCCTAAACAAGAAGACTTCAAACCATAAGCAGGTTTTCTTGTGATGTGTACTTCTTGTGGTGTCTGTGGTACTTCTCGTGGTGTGTCTAACATCAAAGCTCAGGCCCTTATTTATAGTTCCAAGACGAGACAACAAGTTTGATTTTCCCGATGTGGGACTATGGGACTTGCCAAACTAACAAATCTCCACCTTGGCATGTCCCAACAAAACTTGCTCCACCTTCTTCACAAAAGCCCCAACGGGCAATCACCAACAATGAACACCAACCAAGTCCAAGCACTGCTTGAACTTGTAAACCGGAAGAGGCTTCGTAAACATATCAGCTGGATTGTCCTTCGTATGAATTTTCTGAACAAGGACTTTTCCTTCAGCAATGATATCCCGAATAAAATGAAACTTCACATCGATGTGTTTTGTCCTCTCATGATACATCTGGTCTTTAGTCAAATGAATAGCACTTTGACTATCACAGTAAATTGTAGTAACACTTTGATGCAGACATAATTCGCTGAACAATCCTCTTAACCATAAAACTTCTTTGATCGCCTCTGTCACTGCCATATATTCTGCCTCTGTAGTAGATAAAGCTATGACAGGTTGTAAGGAAGCTTTCCAACTAACTGCACAACCGCCAACGCAAAATACATAGCCTGTCAAAGATCTTCGTTTATCAAGATCCGCAGCATAATCAGAGTCGACGAAACCAACCAAAGTGTCACGATTTTTTCCAAACTCCAAACAAGCATCTGAAGTCCCTTGCAAGTATCTAAGAATCCACTTCACAGCCTGCCAATGTGTTTTACCCGGGCGAGACATATATCTACTAACCACACTGACTGCTTGTGAAATATCTGGACGAGTACAAACCATTGCATACATAATACTGCCGATGGCACTAGAATATGGAACTTTCACCATATATTCTTCCTCTTCAACTGACTGTGGTGACTGAGCAGCAGATAGCCGAAAATGGCTAGCAAGAGGAGTACTAACTAACTGGCTTAGCATTTTTCATGCCAAACCTCTCCAAGACTTTCTTGAGGTAATTTTTCTGAGTCAGAAATAATTTTTC